TGAAATGAAAACAATAGGAAAGAGGTGGGCACACATGCTCCCCTCAATCCTAGACCCAAAAATACATACCCCAGATGAAGGAAAGGAAAACTTAATTCAGACGTGGAGGGTGAAGAAAGGTACAGGCTGGTTCCATGTTCTGTTTATCCCAGGCTTCCTTCAAGATACTGTTCATAATTTTGCAGGTTTGTTCATAAAATTGTACACAAGCACTGCTTAGGCTATGTCAAAAAGAAGTAGAGAAGAGAGACAAATCCAGAATCTAGGTATGAAGACCATTTTGCCAAAGGGAGATTTTGGTAAAGGCACCAGTGTGACTGGCACAATCCATATGACAGAGATGGATTGTACCAGCTTTTCCACATTTCATCACTCACGGGGAGGCTCCTTCACATTTCTTATGAAGAGATCCCTCACCGATAGGGAAAAAGAGGCTAAGAAGAGGCCATCAAGTCACTTCTTCCCAGGTGGCATATGTACCTTGCTTTGTCCCCTTGGTTGGGACAAACAAAGATGACAATAAAAGACTCTTGATGTCCCATGACACTCAGCTACACTGAGCCTAGAGAAGGTCGTCATGGGGAAAAGAGTGCACCAATCAATAATTATCTGTGCTAGAGAGAGCCAAGGCCTGCCCTCGGTTAAATCCTGATGTTTGCACTTAGATGTCTCCTCATCGCCTCTCTGAACCTTTGGCCCTGTTCTTAGTGCCCTTTCCCAAGGATGCCCAGACTGCTTATCAAGCACTTCACCCACATCAGTTGCCCCTATCAGTACTGTCTGGTCTAGACTTCCTCGTCATTCCCTGCTACGGAAATGTGTGCTCTGTGGATTTCATGTTACCACATAGTCAGTGTTCAAAAGGAGATGAGGCACTTCCCCGAATAGTTCTTGGGTAAAAGGGGAAGCCAGTTTTGCAGTTTCAAGGTTTTCAAAGAAAAAAACAATGATAATTATTTGGGGGAAGAGTTCACATCAAAATTTAAAGAACAACTGGCATCTTGTACATGTCTGAAATATTAAACCAGAACTAGGAACATCTGAAAAAATCATGAGGATTTAATTAACCTAAGAAAAATCCCATAATACACCAAAGTTTGTATATAAATGCACATATAAAATCTAAATGAAATTTTCCCATCTGGGCTGACAATGCTCACTCCAAGGGCCAAAGACCATCTAATAAAACTCCTACAACCAACTTGAGAAGCCCTCTTTTGAGCTGTAGCCCAGAGTTGTGCAAGAAACTCCTCAAACCCCCAGGCTATTGCTATTGCCCTCTGTTGCCCCCAGAGGTGGAAATCAAGTCCTTACTGATAAGAACACCATGTACTTCAGACACAGGGCCCAGAGGTCTGTGAGTGGGACCTTACCTAAAAATCTCCTTTGAGGACTAGCTTTCACAGTACCAGACTTTGCTGTTCTTGCCAAGGACCTGAGCTCAAGTGTTAGCACCACATAGCACTTAATAACTTCCTGTAACTCCAGCTCCTGGGAACCCAATGTCTTCTTCTGCTCTTTGTGGGAACTGCACATGTGTGCATATAGATACATGCATACATACATACAGACAGACAGACAGACATATATAATACTAAAATATTTTAAGTATGAAGGAATTATGGAAAATACGGAAAAGTATAAGCAAGGACTCGTTATTGTCTATAATTCAATGACTAAAGCAATGTGATGCTAATATAGTAAGCAAGATACACAGAACTATAGCATTACTGTCTTTACACATGGAAAGGTCTTAAAATAAATTTAATAATAGAAATCCTGGATTAAAATGCCATGCTACTTAAAATAAAAATGTGGATGCACACTGTTGTAGAATCATAGCAAAGGGGTTTCCACTCTCTCTTGGAGACCCTTTATCTGGTCTGTGGCTCCAAATAGGTCCCAGTGGTGGTGAGGCATGCAATGCTCACCAAACTGATCAGAGAGCAGGCATCGTGGTAGGAAGAGCCTGAGAAAGCCCCATAGGGACCCTGTAAGGAAACCGAGCTGGCATACGAGGTGTGACCAGATTGTGAAGGGGTCTCAATGTTTTGGGGGTGCAGAGATCCAAAGGATTCTCCCCTGAGGAAGCAGGGAATGCTCGGAACCTATACTGAGAAATGGTGAATTGCTTTGCAAGTGACATAAGGTCAGAAGCAGAGCTGAAAGCCACTATTCGTAAGCTGTGGGTTGCTGCTGAAGCAAGGACGTTATATAATGCTGGCTTTGTTTTGGAAAAGCTATTGTGGCAGCTGTGTGGACATGTACTTGAAATAATAGAATAAAATGAGCCTCAGAAAGAATGTACCAAAGGTATGTTACCCAAAGGTAACACCACAGACTGATGGCACAGTATCTCTGGCACATGGAACTCCTCACCCCAACCCAGTACCCTTCTCCCTAGCAGATAAAATTGCTAAATGCTAAAATACAGGTCCAAAGTGTATTATGTCAATCTCCAAGTGATCAACTCTCCATCCTCCTCCTGAGACAGATCTTGTCCATCTCCCACTGCAGATAATGAGGAACACTGCTGGCTGAGTCCTTTGTCTAAGGACAAATGATGACTGCAAGGGATTTAGCATGGCATGCCTACAGAACAAAATCTGCACACTTACTTACACAGTTGGGCGAAGAAGCAAGGTGTTGTTGTAACTGGGGATTTTCTACCTGTTTTCATAGAATGCCTGGGCAACATTAGTTTGGATTTCTAAATCTAGATTGCTCTTGTTCCCTGACCAAGAAGCCTGGGTCATAAACTCTGTGTGTGTGTGTGTGTGTGTGTTGTGTGTCTGTGTGTGTGTGTGTCTGTGTGTGTCTGTGTCTGTGTATGTGTATGTGTGTACGTGCATGTGTGCATCTATGTGTGTATGTGTTTATGTGTATAAGTATTCATGTATGTGTGTGTCACAATATTGGGAAGGCAGTCTCATTCTGCTTGTTTTTAAATTTCAAACATATGAGTCTGAAATATTCTCCTAAAAAGAAACAATTCCATGCTGATAGCATTGACATCACTTCCCTTGTCTAAACCTAGGATTATGTCATTAGCATAATGACATAATAGATTATAAGATTAACAGGAGAATGAAGTGAAAGGACACACTGCCTCTTTTGACCCCTCCCCTCTATCATGCAATACTTAAGAATTAAGAATTTCCCCCAAATGATATTGATGGTAACAAATAAAGCCACAGAAGTACTCCATGTGATCCTAAATTTGCTCCGTGTGAGGAGCAAATTTGATCCTCAGACTTAGACTCTCATCTCAGAGTGATGGTTAAAACTTTACCATGAGGTTATGTGGTTAGTGCTAATGTAGGTCTGGGGGGAAATGACAGACACTTCAAATGCTCCTTTAATCCCCAGGACCGATAGTCTAGACCTATAATATCATAGTCTAGTGGGCCCATATGAACTTTATAGCCGAAAGCATAGGGTAGCAGGCTTTCTGAATTTGTGGAAGGCAAGGTCAGTAACAGTGGCATGGGAAATGTGAGACAGGATCAAGCGAGGCTCACTTTCCCTGCTGCACCCTAGTAGGAGTCCTGTTTCATTCATTTTCTTCCTTGGTGTTCTCTGAGGTCTGAAGTTGACACCTACTCTTTCGTTGATGGTCTGCTGAGCATGTTGGGGAGCCATGTGATTTTTAGAACAGCTTATACAGATGTGGAAAGTTGAATAATGTCCTTCCTCTTTATAAAACTACTTGTCACATGAACAAATTTTTCATTTTCCCTCATATCTGATCTCAGTTTGACACTCCCTTATATTGATTACATGCTCTTCAACATGGCTTTGTAATGATTCAATGTTATATACATGAGCAGGAAAAAAAAAAACCTGTAGATTCTGTTTGTGACTTCACCTATGGAGAATCTAGAATAACATATGTAGCCTTTATGTAGCTTCATTTCTCACTTATACAATAACTGCATATTGCACACAAAATATGAAGCACATTAGTGTCTGGCATCTGGAAATTATATGGTAAACTGAGTATTGTGAATATTCATCAATGGGTTTAAAATTCTAATTACAACAAGAATCACCTAGAATGACAGTTCTTAACCTATGGGTCACAACCCCTTTAAGAGTCACATATCCAATATCCTGCTTATCACATATTTACATTACACTTCAAAGCAGTAGTAAAATTGCAGTTATGAAGTGTCAATGAAATAATTTTATGGATGGGGTCACCACAACATGAAGAACTGTACTAAACGGTCACAGCATTTGAAGGTTGAGGACCACTGAAATAGAGTTTGAGAAAATGCAGGATCCCCAGTCTCATATCCAAACACGGTGGTTCTTTATGAAAGACTAGGGATTCAGGAATCTTCCTGTAGAATTATGGTATCCCATGGTGCAGGCTGTCTGTAAATTTCTGTGACAGCCTTTCTCATGAGTTCTGCTTCCTACATAGTCTCTTTTTGTGTTAGTCACTCTTCTGATGCTATGATAAAACACCAGCACCAAAAGAGGCTGATGGGAGAGAGTGAGTACAGTTCCCCAGGGTAACAATCCATCATGGCAGGGATGCATGGGAAAAGACACAGCATCTCCGCTAGAGCCAGAGGCTGAGAGTCCACATATTCAAACACATACATGAAGCAGAGAGAATCAACCAGAAGAAATGTAAACTCTCAAAGCCCATTCCAAGTGATATACTTCCTCAACCAAGGCCACACTTTCCAAACCTCCCCAAACAGCACTACCAACTGGGGACCAAGTGTTCAAACACCCAAGCCTGTGGGGAACATTTCTCATTCGAATCATCTCACTTTTCCAATGACCTGAAATGGCAATACACCAAAGCCTTCTTGACCTTTAACTATGCCTATCAAGTTCAGAAGACACCCTTAAAGATCACAGGAAGAACCAATCTCATGAATCTCCAAGAACTTCCCTCTAAGGTCATCAGTGACAAACAGGAAAGGATGCTGATTTTATCATTGTATCTTCAATAATTTAATGAAGTTATTTTGTTCTTTTACCTGTTTCCAGGGTACAGCTTAATCACAGTTGGACTTTTATGCTGGCATTTCAGGTCTCAGAGCAGGAAATATTTGCTGCTTCCTAGCAGATAGGGTGCCAAGGGCAGAGGACCACTCTTGCATCAAGACTGCAGTGTCATTCTCCATGAAGACAGGTCTGATGCTGAGGCTCTGCGTGAGGAGTAAAGCATGTGCATTTCATCTCTCTAATGTGGTTTCTTATCTAAGAATTAAAATTTGCACAGAGAATTTTAGATCTAGAATACTCCCAGTTTGAAACTCCAATCAAGATGAGACAGGAGAGAGAGATGGCCAGAGAGAAAGGACAAAAGAACAAAAATCCACTACAATAATGCAGAAAAATAGTTCCATAAACCAAGAGACCATGGAAATGCCTAGGATGGGCGAGCCTTGCAAGTAGCTCCTTCACAAGCTGAGGTTCCCCATGTTCTTCAGCAAATTGGAAAGAAGATGCTTTGGGGTCTCTATGGACCAAATGTGAATGATTTAGAGGATGCTGTCTTTAGCCCCTTGCTGTGGTAGGAATGGCCCCAAACTGGGCTTCCTGGTGAAATACTGTGTCTTTTTATATTTGCTAGATCATTGAATAACCAAAAGATCTTAAAATCTGACCCTGTGCCTGATTCAACCCTAGAGAAACTTTAAGTAGATCCCTTCATGTCCTTGTAATTCAGAAAAGTATGTTGGAACACACATATTCTATCACACAATAAGGATAGAAATAAGGCTTTTAAAATTGTCCACTTTAATTTATGTATAAAAGATAGACCTTTTCTCAATTAAAAAAGTTTTTAAATTTAGAAGATCAATAATCAGTAGAGAGATAGGTTCATGATATAGTGTTTGCCTAGTGTGCCCAAGGACCTGTATTCTGTCTCTAGCAGTGCAAAATAAAATATAATGATTTTTAAAACATCACTGATTGGCCAGACAGCCTAGTCTATGTGGCAAATTCCAGGCCAGTGAGAAATTCCATCTCAAAAAACAAGGTATATGGCACCTAAGGAATGCCATCCAAGGATCCAAGGTTGACTTCTAGCCTGCAGATGCATACACACACACACACACACACACAGAGAGAGAGAGAGAGAGAGAGAGAGAGAGAGAGAGAGAGAGAGAGAGAGAAATCCTGTCCCACTGGCCATGTGATTTCATTCTTCTGAGTCCCAGGATTAATCAAGCATTTTGTTTAGTTTTAGTGGGTTTTCCTTTGGTTTGGATTTCAGTGCTGGGCATTAGGGATCCAACCTAGAGCCTTGGGCATATGTACATACTAGGCAAAAGCAAAACAACAAAAAGGATTATTAACTCTACACACTAAGCCAAATGGGACCTTGAACTCCCTGCCTCAACTTCCATAGAGTCTTGGAGTATAGGTGTGAGCCTCCAAGTCCCACTTGCCTGTGTATGTGTGTGGGGGGGGGATGTTAAGGGTGTCAATGGGCTCTACAATTGATCCAGTGTCAGACTCGGGTCTTTTTTTTTCCTATACCAGCCACAAGTCGACCAACTCTGTAACATAATGAACTCTTCAGAGGCCCGGAGCTAGAAGCCTCAGCTCTTCTTTCTGTCCTGTCCCCAGAACCTTCACTCAGATTTCATTATGTAAATAGGAAAGCACTCACCTCTGGTTTTCTGGAACTTCGAGAGTGACCAGATCTGTGGGCCCATGAGAAAAAGACCCCTGGGTAAGTCCATCATGCAGGCATGCTCCAAAGAGAAGCCCTGCCCCCACCTATCCCTGACTCTAAAAATGATGATACTCATTTCCTTTTAGAGGCAAATCCCACACACTGTCTCAGCAGTGTGTATTCTTTCCATCATCCAGCAGCCAAAAGTGGATTTCCTCTAATACCAGGACATGAGACAATACTTCTTACAGGCTCCCCTTTGGGAATGTTGGACTCATAGAACCATAAAGTATCTTCTTTCTGTTCTTTCTCTATATCAAGAGTCCAAGTGTGTGAGTTCCATGGGGCAATAACTGGGTTTAGTTCCAGGATAAGAATGTCCAAGCCCCTAGACTAAGGAAGAGCTAGATGACTCTTTCTGGGACTGTTAAACACACTATATACTAATTCATGTGAAGCCCACAGGGATCATACAAGATGGATCGGAAAGCATCTAAAAGGTGACCAAATTCTTGAGCATGATAAGGCGTGGGGGACCTTGATTCATGGCTCCTTTTGCCCCTCACACTTCATTTCTTCAGTTTATTAGCTTCATTCTGTTTGCCTGTGAGAGTCAGAAAGCCCTACACAGAATTATCTCAAAGGACACGTGGTCTAAACAACATTATGAAAGGTCAGGGTCTGGTTCTCTGGAAAACCAGAGATCTAGCTACTTTTTCAACTGTGCATGGCCTCAGACTCACAATCCAAAACGTCTACCAGACTCTAAGTAGGAAGCCAGAGGAAAAAATGATGGACAGGCAGAGGCAGAGGTCACCTCCCACTGTCCCTTAAGAAGTCTACCAGACCCTTCCACGTGGTATTTCTGATAATAGCTAGTGACCAAAACTAGGCATAAAGGAGTCCAGAAAAGGGACTTATCATGCAAGGGACTGTAACTCCAGTGAAAAACCATGGTTTTGTCACCAATAAAAAAAGAGAATGGATATTATAGGATTCCCAAAAGTTATATTTTCAAATCACATAAAACACTAGAATAGGAGACAATGATGACCAAAGGCTGACAGCAGGTGAGAGGAAATCAAGGATGATATGTTGAAAACATGAGAGGCTGAACAAAAATCATAATCAGAGGCAATGTGAGAGGAGAACATGAGTGAAAGAGAGAAGCTGGCAGTGAACATAACTCCTTGACCCAGCTGTTGGGGCTTATGCCTGCCTATAATCCCAGAACTCCAGCAGTTGAAACAGGAATGCTGCAAATCCACGGCCACTCTGGGCTACACAGTGAGTGTCGGAGTAGCCATAGCTACAGAACAAGTCCCTGTCTAAACACCTTAGAACCTTCTGGACACTGAACCCCAAACCTATATGAATTAAGAGGATCATAACAATACAGAAAAAGGCAGCCAGCAGCTGAGAATAGACACCCTAAGCAGTATCAGATACATGTGTAAGGAAGGATGTGTTTATCCAATACTTGGTAACAAAGGACTGTTCCATTTAGGGATTTAGTAGTTTCCTATCCTAGATTCAGCATTCTAGAAACAAACCCTGAAGCAAGCTTGATGTACTCGAGTCTACCAGAAGCTTTGATTTCAGAGGAACGCAGGTGGGAGAAAAGAGAAGTGAGGTGAAGGTGATGGAAGCCAGCAGGAGGTGATAGGGGCTAGGCTAGGGCTTCATGAGAAGACACAGCTAGTCACAACCAGGCAGAGCCCCCACATACACACGGCATATGAAAGGAGTGTCTCTGAGCACTCTGAAAAGGCTCACAGAAAGAGAGTTGGGGTGCCGCCTGCCTCCCATCTCCTGTTCCCCTTTAATCATCATTCACACAATGGCTACCTGTCCCTACTTCTAGATTGTGTCCTCTGGCCAAACCTACAGCTGCTAAATCTATATTCTTTCCTACTCTGGAGATGAATGAAGGGCCAGAGACTTGAGTTTTCAATGTGAGCCTGGCAGACAACATGCATACCAGTAAGACAGCCAGCCAAGGTAGGGGAAGTGGTAGGTTCTAGGAAAGCAGGGTTGAGTGGACCCAGGAGTCCTGGGAGTTATAATCAATACACAAGACCACATTCTACACAGAACCAAATGCTAGACAGATTAAATTTATCAGTGTAAAAAAAGACAGCAAGAAAATGTGGGAGAAAAAAGCCCTACATATTATTCTGTTATAACAACAACAAAAAAGTTTTTCTGAGTGTAAAACATATTCAAAGTCATTAAAGATTAAAAAGAAAAGTATTATTAGATTTAACTAAAATGTCTTTCTAGGAAAAAAGATATAGGTGTGTACATGCAAATGTAAAATAAAACTCCGAAAGCATAGACAGTATTTGCACCAGGTAAAACAAATTAAAGATTAGCCGTGGCAAGTTCTAAGGAGTCCCTGTAAATCCTAAGGGGAACTGAGTGCAAGACCAATGAACCTTGAAAGCCAGGGCTCAATCTACCAGATAACCCTTTCTACGTGGCCAAACTCCTAAAGAACACGCAGATGAGGAGTTGCATGGAGGCATAGGGAGGAGACATTCCAGTGGTCTTGATTGCTTTACAGTGTGAAAATAAATTTCCCAAAGTTCCACCAAATGAACTGAAAATTACCTGTTATGTTCTCATTTCTGTAGCCTCAACTCATATGAGTTTTTTTCTAAAGAAATCTCAGTGTTGTGTCTACTCCTGAGAATCTGAGATGCTATATTGAATCCATTCATATTTGAATTCTAACTCATTTACACAATAGAATTTGCCTAGACACCCCAACTTCATAAAATTCTGAAGTGTTTATTTAAATTGCTTCCTAAACTTCTAAGAATTAGTGTAAATACCTGTAACCCTAGCACTTGGGAAATGAAGGATCAGAAGTTCAAGATCAGCCTCAGCTACATAAGACTGTATCTCAAAAATACCAGAAAAAGAAAGGGGAAGGATGCTATTTTCTTTTTTTTAATCTGATAAAGCAGTAAAAATAACTTGATACATTTGGGGTCCGTTTTGGAGCATTTTCTTACCCATTATTTAATTGATCATCATAAGCACATTATGAAGACAGTGGAGTTTTACTTATATCCATTTGAAACACAGATTAGATAAAGAATAGATCTAATGCCCAAAATCCAATGACCAGAAAAACTACAGCTAAATTCAAAGAGCCTACTGGATTGTCAGATTTCATGGTTTCTCCTGAACAGTGAATAAACAATGTGAATTTGATGGGCAAGGCAAAAACTTGTTTTCAAAATCTGTATCTCTCTGGAGATTCATAATGGAGTTTGACAGCTTCAAAAATTCAAAGTTGTTTGTATTCAATTTTCCATTAAATAGCATGGTTAACTAGTAGCCAAGAGCAATAAGAAGAGCTAGAATTTGCAAAATTTCCAAGTAATGCCAGGAGCCCAGCCCTTTTCCTTTAATGTATGGATTTGCTCCAGGGAATAAGTTCTGGGCATTAATGTCCATGGTCATTTCCCTTCATCCTTGAAAGGGAAGGAAATCAGAGATGCTTCCAGA